GCACTTTCACATCTACAGGACAGTTGTTTGCCACGGCAAAGCTTGACAAGACTAAAGATTGACATTTATCTTTCAAACCAAATTATTATCAATGTAAAGTTTAGTTTAACAATTTTTAGAGCAAATATTGCATGTTATAGATATAATTTAGATATAATTGTACATTAAGGTACACTAGCTCCAATAGGTAGATGATGGACATGTGTTCCTCTGACCTCTAAAGTATGCTCCTTTAAGTTATTTTCAATCCATTTATCAATGACTGTAGGAAATTACATGACAGCATTAGTTTAATCCTATCTACAGTGTAATCAATAAACATCCTGTTTTGAGTTACTCGAGGGGGAAGTTTTGAGTAAATGACAAATCATCATTTTGTCTTTGCGTAACAACTAGATCCTTCAAAAACCATGACACGCTGGTATGCCAGGCTACATATACCTACATTTGTTCAGTGCTGCTTAAACAATTCATTATTATTCATTTATTAATTTTACACCCTTCATTTTTGAAAGAAAGCAGTTTCCATCCAGAGATGAGGAATTGGAAGAAGAAGAAGGGGGAGTGAACAGGAGCGCACCCGCTGGTAGTTGGTATATTGCCGGCAGCTGTGTTGATGCTGTTGTTGCTGGTGGAGGCTGAAATTAAGAACATTACCTCTCACTGAGCCAGGAAGGTGTGTTGTTGGTTGTTTCCAATTAATAACACTGCTGCCTGGAACAAAGAGCTGCTCTGCTCACCACCAGATCACCCTGAACAAACAAACAGGACAGAGATGTTTAATTCCAACTTTTTGTGAAACGGAAAATAATGTTACCTTTTTCTTAGTTCTCATTTTTTTCATAGTTTCTCCAAATGTGCTATACGATCGATACATCATTTTGTCTTCTCATCAAGAACACATTGGACTTTCTACTGCTCATACTATTCCACTGCTCTTTATTGACCCTGGAACTTTCCCAGAGTTATTAGTTGGAGGAGCAGCAGCTCTGTTTGGGATCCTTCGGAAACCTGGCCAATCCACCTGGCGAATGTCCGCTCTCTGGCCAAGAAAATGGACGAACTGCTGCTCCTCAAAGGAACTAACTCGGATTTCTGCTGATCTGCTGCCCTCTGTTTCACCGAATCCTGGCTCACCGAGCGCATCCCAGAAAGTGTACTTCACCTACCGGGATTTAATCTCATCCGCGTGGATCGCGAAAGGGAGCTCACGGGAAAAACAAGGGGAGGCGGACTCTGTTTCTATAGAAACGAAGGTTCGTGCACAGTTTTGAAGATATCATGCAGCCCTCGCCTAGAGACATTTATAAACTGTAAACCGTTTTATTCACCGCGGGAGTTTTCCTCGTTTGTTCTGGTCGCTGTTTACATTCCATCTCAGGCCTGTGTTAGCGAGGCGTTACTACACCTGGCCGACCAGATAACTAACGTGGAGAAAAAACATCCAGACTCCTTGCTCATTGTTCTTGGGGACCTTAACAAAGCAAACCTCAGTCATGAACTTCCAAAATACAGACAGCATAGGGGGACAGCACAGACAGGGACACTAACACACTGGACCACTGCTACACAACATTAAAGGACGCCTATCGCTCTGTTCCCCGTGCAGCCTTGGGACTCTCTGATCTGTCTGGTGCATCTTATCCCGACACACAGGCAAAAACTGAAATCTGCTAAACCTGTTGTAAAGACTGTGACATGTGTGTGCCGACTAAAACCTTCCGCACATAAAACAACCAAAAACCCTGGTTCACAGCGAAACTCAGGCAGCTTCGTCAGACCAAGGAGGAGGCCTTCAGAAGTGGGGACAGAGTCTTGTACAACCAGGCCAGGAACACGCTGACTAAAGAGGTCAAAGCTGCAAAGAGGAGCTATGCTGAAAAGCTAAATAACAGCTTTGCAGCCAACGACCCTGCATCAGTGTGGAGAAGCCTACGGACACTCACAAACTACAAGAGACCATCCCCCAACACTGCTGGTACTCAATGACTGGCAGACGAGCTGAATGGTTTCTACAGTAGGTTTGAAAAGCCCAGAGTCACACCTCTCCCCGACTCCAATGCCATCTTCAAACAGTCACCTTCCCCCTCTGACGTCTCACCTGCACTCAAGATCTGTGAAGAGGACGTGACCCACCTCTTCCAAAGGCAGAAGATCAGGAAGGCTCCAGGACCTGACGGTGTCTCACCGTCGTGCCTGAAAATCTGTGCGGACCAGCTGGCCCCCATCTTCACTCAGATCTTCAACAGATCACTGGAGCTGTGTGAAGTTCACTCCAGCTTCAAATGCTCCACGGTCATCCCAGTCCCCAAAAAAACCCTCCATCTAGTCATGAAGTCCTTTGAAAGACCGGTGTTGGCCCACCTGAAGGAGATTACAGGCCCCCTGCTGGACCCCTGCAGTTTGCCTACAGGGCTAACAGGTCAGTGGATGATGCTGTCAACTTGGGTTTGCATCACATCCTGCAACACCTCGAATCTCCAGGGACATATGCACTGCTCTTCTCCCTCTACACCAACAACTGCACCTAAGGGGACCCATCTGTCAAACTCCTGAAGTTCGCTGACATGTCGGCCTACAGACGGGAGGTTGATCAGCTGGCTCTCTGGTGCTGTCAGAACAACCTGGAGCGTGGACTTCAGGAGGAGCCCCCCCACTCTGCCTCCCATCACCATTCTAAACAGCCCTGTGTCTGCTGTGGAATCCTTCAGGTTTCTGGAATCCACTATATCCCCAGGACCAGAAGTAAGCACATCGTGAGCAATGTACAATCCTGAGTCAAATTCCTCGTATGTGTACACATACCTGGCAATAAAACTGATTCTGATTCTGAAGATCTCAGGATCCTTGAAATGTGTTCATTTTAGACTATGCAACTTTTCCTGAACAGCATTCACTGTAGATATATGTGGCAATTATGGAATAATCAAATGTAACAGTAGTAAGAGTTTAGAAGAGTTGATTAAGAAAACAGCTCGGGCCAAGGTCAGTTGAAAACTTGTCATCACCACCTTAAAATCTTTTCTATAATGGACAGCAAATTGGAGTCCAAAAAAGCTCACGGGAGTTAACATAGTGGTGCAATACAGTTTTTCACTGGTGTATTTCTAAAACTAAAACTTTATGGGGTTAGCGATGGTGCAGTGGTTAAGACATATGCCTTTGATGTGGGAGGCTGTGACACATCCACCAATGTGTCCCTTAACAAGACACTTAAACCCTTATTGCTCCAAAGCGGTGCGACCTCTGACATATGTAGCAATTGTAAGTCAATGCCTATAAAAGTGTCAGCAAAAACACTGTAATGTCATAATACTCTGAGTGTGGTTCATCAATGGTGATAAATGATTCAAACATCCTGTGAAGTGCACGCACAACTGTGCACAACACCGCAGCTGGTGCCCCATCTCTCTTCCTCTTCTACATGCTGCACCCACACATGCACACTCAAGGTTAGGGTAACAATTTTGCATTTATTCACACACTTTTAATCAATTAATAAATAATAATACAAATCTTAATAAAAGTTGTTTTGTTTTTATATCATCTTAAACAGCATTATACGTTGATGTTTATATCACCATAGGCCGTATATTAAGTTAATGGGAGAAAACCAGTAGTTCTATGTAAAATATGCCATTGAGCCCCCCCACATAATCAAAATGGCATGATCCTCATTTCATAATGCCACTGCGAAGATTCAACTGTGAGATTTGTAGTCGAATCAGGCTCCTCTTATAGCAGCACTTTGTGCCATGATTTCATCCTTCTAGAACTTTTAATTGGTGTATTTATTGTCCATTGTTGCCATCTAGTGGCCCTTTATGTGCTAATTTTACATCTTTATTTTCTATTTTAACACCTTTACTTGGTGATGTTATTAATTATGTGATTAATACAGTTTGTATTATTATTTCACCACAATGTTGTTTATATTTTTGGGGCCATTTCAATCACAATTTTCACTATTAAAACTTCAGAAAGTCAAAATACATTTGTTAAAGATTAATGCCTTTTTTGGCTTTATCGTTACAAAAAGGTTTTTGCGTATGTGCATCAAGTGAACACTGCCTTTGTGTATTTTCACATCTGCATTTTGAAGAACTTGCATCTGTGTGATTTCCACTCACACTTGCAGCCTGTTTCTTATGTACTTCACTCAGGAATGTGGTCTAATTACAGAATACAGAATAAATAAATAAATACATATTATTATTATTAGTAGAAGTGGTATTATTATCTACCGTAAGTGCAGAAGTAACGTCAATATCCATGAGCAAACTATGAGCACATCGTTTTCAAAACCACTAACAGATTGTTCGCCAGTCAAGAGCTGTGAAACTGCAGCCATCTTGATAAGCAGCGGTTTCTGGGCTGTGTTAACGGTAAGACATAATAACACTCATTAATGAAGATCAGGTTACAGGTATAAACTTAATCTCTGCCCAGACACAAGGTTCTTCATGCGTCTGTCTGCCTCAGGTGATCTGGCGAAGCCCCTCTCGCTCCGGACTCTGACAGCAGCCAGGGCACAGAGCAGGGCACCGCGCCTACATGCAGTTACACCGGCACAGATGATTCTGCAGTCGGCAGAGGAAGGAGACTCCACTTTGTGGGTCGAGAGATCAGAACTTCAGGAGTTCCTTCTTTCAGTAAAAGAACCGTGGAAAATCTTTTTCTGCAGGTATGAGACCCTTATGTTGCAAACAATCTACTTTCCAAAATTGTCTTGTTTGATAAAAACACAACAAAAGAAAAACGGTCTGCTCTTAGTCAGTGATGTAAGTTAGACTTTCACCTAGTTAGTGAGTTAATGTGCTTAATCTACATTGCAGGGTGTTACTGGAAAGACTTCCATCCCTTGAAAGTATTAGCAAATGTTAAGCTCAACAACCAAACTAGTGCTAGTTTTTAAACAATCCTAACACTATCCAGATCCAAAATAATGGAGAAATGTAGATAGGGTTAAAATTGAAGTCTGGACATGGCAGGCACTTACGTTAAGCTGGTGGCAGGCCAGGACAGGTGACGCTGAGGTCGCCATCCTTCCCAGTGGACGTGTAGGTGTAGTAGCCTGGCTGGTTGCTGGTGATCAGGCTGTTGATCCAGGATTGATACTGGGACACTCTGGTGTAGGCTGTTGGGAAATTAGGCTCGGCACAGCGTACTGCAAAACTCACGATTCCCTCCTGGATCCAGCGACCGCCCTGCTTGCTCACCAGCGGACCTCCTGAATCCCCCTTTAAGGAAAGATATATTTAAGCGAAGAATCCTTGCAGAAGCTCAAATCTGACACAAACACAGATGTAAAAGTGATCACCTGACAGGAGCTCTTCCCTCCTACGCCAGCGCAGATCATGTTGCTTGTGATTGAGCCCACTCCATAGTTACAGTTACACTGTCTGTTCCCCACAATCGGCACCTTCACCTCCATTAGGTTTCCTGGGGATGGAAGGTCCACTAAAAAGACACAAAGAAACAAATTTAGTTTAGTGAACAACACAAGTGGTGAAATGTGGTTTCAAATAATTTCACACAAAATGGACAGTTCTATTTTCTATAGGCTTCGCCCTCTAGAGCTATAACTGGTGCGTTTATCCCTCGCCACATGCACAGAGCTCTGCATGTCCAGTGGAAAGAGCTTTTTCCACGCCCTCTAGTGTGATTGGCCTCATCGTGCCTCATCCATTGACAACCGCTTATCCTGCGTACAGGGTCGCGGGGCTCTCCTTCATTAAAGAATGAAGCGCTGTTGCAGGGTAAGTACCTATTACACGGTACCAGGATACTCAAAGTAAAATTTAAGAGATTTAAGACCTTTTTAATACTACCTAGGATAAATTTAATGACAACTTCACTTCCCTATAATGGAAAATCGTATAAATTTTAAGAAAATTGTTATTTACGAATTTACCTGAATTTAATAAAACATTTATATATATACAATACTCACATTTATTATTTTTAGGGTTGAGCATTCACTTAATTTCCTGCATCCTGGAGATATTTTTCTGCACCAATTTATGGTAGAATGGTCTTTATTTATAAAGTGAAATAAAATTCAGGTGACAATTCAAACAAAACCTTTCTCAAAGCATTTTCATTTTCTTTTTTTTAAGATTTCTTGTTCAAGCCATGTTTCATAACATATTTAACAAATGCTTTTAAAAACACATGACCCCAGCGTCCCCAGAGTAACTGACACCTATGAAATGAATACAATATTTGTAGCACTAACAACTCTTATGGTGTGAAACCAAAGATACAAAATAAATTGTGCAGTATGAGTTGTTACAATTAGTTACACCATGGCTTCATAAGGTAATATAATGTAATATAATATGCCTTTTGCATCTAAAGGCTGCTTGAAATATAGTATTCTATAGTATTGGCGTGAAAGCAGCGAGGATAAGGAGTTGGGCTCCGGTTTGTTTTTGCCGTGTTGCGTTAGCATGTTTGATGTTTCCTTTCACATAACGCTAGCCTACAACAGTGGCGCAACGCTGATACAAAGAATGGTCCTCGTCTCTCTGTTGCTGTTTTAACATTCACTGACAAGTAACCTGCAGGTCTTCCAGCTCTGCTGTTTCATTAGCGCTCGCCACAGTGTGACTGACTCGCACACCGATCCGCTTGTTGTGCTAACCTAAGCGCCACTGTAAGACCTTGGTAAACAAAATTTTAAACTTATTTTTAGAATATGAAATTCAAGACTTTTTAAAATACTACTGTATTAACCCCAGTGTACATTTGAATTTTTCCCAGGTGGGCTTAATGGCACAGTGCGAGAAGAAGCACACTGTATGAGCAAGCTTGAAATAGAATAAAAAGTTGAGCCCACTTCAGTGTGGTTTTATGAAATGTCTTCCTTTCTAATCCATTTCTATTTTGACCATATGTTGACTAAAGGTGATTGCAACATTTTCTTTGATTTGTTTTACCTCACCAACATAAAGTGCACCTATATTTGTCTGCCAGTGTTATCAGAAAAGTGAATTTTAGACAGTTGCATTACATGTAAACATCAGCTAATGTGCAACTTTATCTTTTATTTACAGTTAGAAAGATGACAATATGTCAAATATGACAGAAGCGTGTCGCCTTTACCAAGAGGTTATTTCCTTTAGATGTGTATTGTGTTACAATACTGCTCAACAGCTCCATGATGTGGACCAATTGCGGGAACACACACTCTCCAGCACATGCTTTATTGTGAGCATGTGAAACAGTCTTAGAATTAATTTGTTGAAGAGGATAAAAAATAAATATATCTACCCAAAGCGGGGATTAAACATACAATCCTTAGATTGAGAGACCTGTACTCTACCAACTGAGCTAACCGGGCACAGTCAAAATAAGTCTGACATTTTCCTAAAAAAACGAGCCTTGTGTTAGACTATCGTATCGTTATCTCGAGAAAATTATCCAGTTATCATGGAAAAACAGAGTAAATAAAGATTTTCCATAGATGGTCGCCTAGGGTTTCCATAGCTAATACTGCTATGTAGTTGTTGTTGTTTTTTGATTGTAAGCTATTACTACTGTTTTTAGGGCACTGCTGATTTAATTAATTTAATTAATTAGTTATTTACTTTTATTAGTTTGCTTCACCTTACTATTACTATGTATTATCTGTTCATGTACATCGAGAGAAGCCAACCTAAATGTCATAATATAAGTATAGTGACAATAAAGATCATTCACAATTCTATTCTCTCCTTTAAAAAATATATTTTAGCCAAAACTGTCTTGCTTTTGGCTTTGACGTCGGCTAAGAGAGTCAGCAATCTATCTGCTCTCTGTGGCCCCTTCATGCCTCAGAATTCAGGTTGATGGCAGCTTCTTCTCCTCATAGGTCAGAGTAGGAAGATACATGGAGAGCTCTCCTCCATGTTGGCCCTACTCCACTTTTGCTGGAAAATGACAGTGTAATTCAAACTAGTTCACAAAAATGTGTGTTAGCTAATGTCACAGACAGAATTACAGGTTTTGTTGCTCCCCTGGGTAAAGGAGCAACTACATTTATGCTTTGAAATTTCTGAAAGGACTGTCTGTTGACACCATTGTAGTCACACTAGGCTATCTCTGAAAATAAATGATACAGATCCTTTCTGACCCACCTCCAAATCCAATCCTGCCCCAGCCGGTGACCCAGGCTACAGTGTCCTTGTAGAAGGTGCTGCCTGGGGCTGCCAGGCAGACGGGCAGGATGTAGGAAGTGAAAGTCACCGGTGAGGAGAGCTTCAGGAGGCAGATGTCGTTGACAAGAGTTTTAGAGTTATAGTTGGGATGACTGATGATCTGTGATACTGTACGAGACACTTGGTTGGGGTTTGATCCCTGTTGAGTCTGACGACCCAGAGACACAACCAGATCGCTTGTGGTGGATCTGAGGTAATCAAAAGAGAAACAAAACAGTGCTAATACATGTAAAGCAGAAATGTAGTCAAGGAGACACTTGGGCCATTATTTTGAAGGATTTCTAGCCTTTATCTGTGAAGGATAGCTCAAGAGTGACAGGAAATGTGGGACAGAGACAGCGGACGACATGCAGGAAAGGGCGGCGAGTTGGATTTTATTAACCTGTGCTGCTGCGGCAAGGACCAAGCCTTTGCACAATAGACGCCACTCCTACGTGGGCCATTTTGAAGGCCACATCTGATCTAGTTTGTATTGAACCTGACAGATGTGGCAACAGAGAGATATCATTCCCAAATATTACAAATCTTTTTCCTCATTATATTATAAATCATTCCCTCAATGAACTGAAGGGGTGTGATCTGAAGTGCTAATTACATAAGTTGATCCCTGGTCTGGTTAGCAAGAATAAATATAAAATGTTCAGGAAAGTTAGCAAGAATACATTTGAAACGTTGGTTAGACTTTCAAAATACTACTTGGTTAGCTTTAGGAAAACATCATGATTAAGGTTACATTATTATTAAATTACTTATATGACTTCACTTATGTAACTTTTGTAACTCATGTACCTCAACTAAAAACAATCAATGACATGGGAACCTACACCAAATGACGTCACAGGGCTTCCCCCAGTGCATTGAACCATGTAGCTAAGGGGCTTAACAATGCATCACAAACTGACACCAATGGGTCTTTACCATGTGTCCATATGTGTCGACTTGGAAGTGAGAATGGGTTGCACATGCGGATATCTGTTAATAGAGATTAGGTTGATTGATTTAAAGGTGCAGTAAGTTAGGGACTCACAGTTTTTTGTCATGTTTTTACATTTTTTTTACATTATAGCTGCTTTCACCAGAAACTCAATCTGCCCCCTGTCTTGCCAGAGGGGCTCTTGGGCCACTCACTTCTGGTTAGTTCTACATTTACGTTTATTATCCAAAGCGACTTCCAATTGCTAAATATGTCAGAGGTCGCACACCTCTGGAGCAAGTTAAGTGTCTCGCTCAGGGACACAATAGTGGATGTGTCGCAGTGGTGAATTGAACCTGGGTCTCTCACACCAAAGGCATGTGTCTTATCCACTGTTCCATCACCACCCAGTTGTATATCTATTAGGGACGAAAATGCAACCCTTTTGTGAGTTTTCTCTCTCGGGTTTTCGAACCACTGCCTTTGGCAGGCTGGTTACAGGACTGCGTGGCATGTTGTTTTGTCGCGACCCTACCCTCAGTGCTTACCCGTCACAGCAGTGAGCAGCAGTCATCACCCATTCATTGTTAATGAGGGTTCCTCCACAGAAGTGGAACCCTGTAGTGTCTTGCAGACTGGCCTGCCAGGGCCAGCTGCCTGCAGAGGCCACCTGTCCTCCAACAATCTTGGTGTTGAGTGTTGGCTGACCACACACTGAGGAGAAAGACAATAAAGAGACAGCAAATACTAACAATAATGAAACTATTTTCAAACGTTTACGTCCAACAACATGTTTAAAATGTCCAGATGACAGATGGACATGAAATAAAAACGTTAGCATTGACACTTTGACTTAGCATCTAGTTGCAAGTGAGACTCCTCGAAACACCAATTTATGTGTAAATATAATAATTGTCATGCTACATTTACATGGGAGGAGTGGGAGTTTACTTTTATTACTAAACTCAATCAAACACAAATAGTTTTTAATAAGTGACTTTAAACCCTTTGCTCTCTCAGCTAACAGAAAATCATCTTCCACTTACAGAAAAGGAGTTTGCAGTAGTTGAGAAAATTCCCTAGAACTCATTATGACCACGAAAACCTTCAAGAACCAAAATGTGTCAGCTGTCTTCCTCTTTTTTTATGTCTTGTGACCACTAGAGGTCACAGCTTTACATAGGTAAATATGACTCATAAGGAGCTGCTTGAATAATCAACCTATACAGGTGTTTTTCTGGGGAGGACAGGCTGAAA